ACGGAAATTTGAGATTTATTTGATGTTATTTAGATTGTTAACACGTTTCAGGAGTGTTGTGCTCATATTGTATTTTATCTTTAATGAAATTTTGTACAGTTTGTATTATATTGAATGTTGTTGAATTGTTTTGGAATGTTTCATGTTTTCATTAATAAATGCATCATTCATAAAGCTTTCTCAGCGTTGTGATGCATGGTTCAGTTCCACGGATTTTTATTTGAAAAATAAGAGTATTACTTTAAATTCGCTAACATCCTTGAGATATAATTCGCGAACCGGGCTGTTGAGTAAATTTGATGATTAGTGAGCAATAGTGAGGCTTGTAGAAAGAAGACTCAGTTTTTGGTTGTTTGTTACATTTGGTGGCACTCGCAAAATTTCAGTATTTGGGATTTATTGTTGTGGTCTGTATTGTTGAAGAACGATCGAAATATAATGTACTGATATTGCTGGTCGGTGAAATAAGAAAGCAAGAAGCAGTCGGATGCCATGATTATTTGAAGTATTCAAGAACAAATGATTATTTTGCTTAATCAAGGCTATTCAGTGTAGACTGACGTGCGATTTGTGACATTAACTTCATATAGTGTAAAAAAACTGATGAAGATACATTCTTGCCCTGTGATCAGGGAGGAATTCGCTACTTGTTGTTAGCGTTAGGTTCCACTAAAATATCCACGAAAACTCTCTTGTAATGGGTGCTATGTTCCCATTGTAATGGGAATAGTTCAATTATTTGGTAGTCAAATTCAGTGGATCATTGAATTTGGGTTTCAGATAGGTATACAATTGTATTTATCGATATCATGGATGAAGGTGATTCATCGTCAGATGACGACTACGTGCCATCATCAGAAGGTGAAGATGTGGAGCATGATGATTCGGAACCTGAGGCTAGCGATACGAAACATCCGGATAATGTCGGTGAACATAATGACGATTTCGAAGATACCGTTGCTCCCTCTAGTAGCACGGGCAGACATAAAAGCTGTGAACCAATAGTGTGGGTGATAATTATGTTTTTGATAAAGGTTAAATTCTTCAACTGAGTTTCATGCAGATGCAGTACCTCAAAATAGGCAATTGATTTAGTCGTTGTTTTGGTTTTCATCTGATCTATTACCGTTGCCACTGATTTCCAGTAGCAGTGGTGATGCGGGCAGTAAGGAAATGGAAAGTGAAGAAGAACGAAAACGACGGATTGACGCACTCTTCGATGATTTCATTTCGGGTTCGTCATCATCTCAACAACAGCCAACATCCTCTGCAGTCACCACCGATGATAAGGACCGTATCGATAATAGTATAGCAAAGCCGGATTCTGTAGAACCAACAAGTGCAACAGATAATCAACTAAGCAATCAGACGGTAACGAGCGACGTCAGTAAAGATGTTCCGTCGACGGAGGAATCAAGCTCGTGTAC